TTAAATTGAGAGAAAATAAAAATACCCAATTATAAGAGTTTGCACCATAGTTCAAGAATGAAAAATAGATACATCTTGATATATTAAAGAGACATAAATTTTATATATTTTTAAGAGGCCTACAGAAAACGTTTGGAAGAAGAAAAGAAAACATAGAAGAATTATTAATAAGTGATAATTTTTAATAGCATAGATAATGATAATATGAAAACACTCAGTAATTAAGAAATATAAAAAGTAAATGATATATGACAATATATTTAAAGTATTACAAGTTTTAATTATTAAAATATAAATAAATAATATTATCAGAATGCTTAAATATGCTCATTTTGGGGGAAAATACTTTTAAGGCAACTTCAAACTACCTTGCTTTTTATATTTTATTTCTCTATTTAATTTTCAATATAAAACTTTTAAAGATGTTAATTGATAAAAAAAAATTAAGACTTCAATATATTTATATTAAATTAATCAATTTAAAATTATTAATTTTTAACATTGAAAAATATGCATTTAATTTTACCTTATTATTAAAATATTATCATTTAAAAATATATTAAATTATTTGATTTTGTAAAAATATTAAATTAATTTACATACATTAAATATGAAATTTAATATTAAAGGTGTTAACTTTTTACATATAATAATACACAATAATATAAATACATAATCAATTACTCTATATCTTTTTAAATTTATTACATTATAATTATAAAATCATATTAAATTAATATCTAATTTTATTTAAATATTCCTAACACAACACACCTGACATTCAAATATAGATAGATAGACACTTTACGCAAAATATATCAACACCAAAACATTTGTATCCTAAAGAAATCGTGACTTTGTATTTAACCTGTTTTTCAATTAATTTGCGAATTTAACAACAGAACTATGAATTAGTTTTACAATTATCTGGTTGATTTAAAAATAAAATTGTATCCAATATATTTTAAATATGACTTTTGATCAAGTTGAAGTGTTTTTCGTATTTGGTTGAGAGAGAAAAGACCTAAGGCGTTTGAGTACTCTATAAATTGACGTACAATATGTTTGGTAATTAGATTCTTTTAGCAAATTGAAAGTTCTTATACTATTTAATTAAAATATATTTGAAGTAAAATAATTATTGATGAAGTATTCAAATTAATGGTTATTTATGTTTTTTTAAACATTATTGCATGTAGTGTTCATGTTTTTCAGGTCCTTGTTAAAAGCATTTCTTTATTTTTTTATTCTTCATATTTTATTTTCATAATTTCTCTATCTTAAACTCAAAATATTTGATTTTAGCAAATAAAAGTTATATTAAAAATTATTACTTTTATAGAAAAATTATTTTAAATTTTATTTTATAAATCTAAAAAGTAAATACTGTTATGTCAAATAAATTAATTAAATTAAAATTTTTGTTTAAAAAAACATGTGTTAAAAATTAATGATAAAATGTTATAAAATAATCATTGCTTTCGAAAATAATAGATTGTTAATCTATTGAAAAGGATTTAACAAAATTATGAAAATAATAATATAAGTTTATTTATATTATTTTGTTTGATAAATGTGTTTATAAATGAGAATAAAATTAAATTTTTATTCTAATTTTAAGAATATAAATATTCTTTAGTAAACAAAAAATACAAAAAATTACAATTATAAGAAAATATATTGTCTAACAATTAATTAATTTTTTCATAACTTTGAAAAAAATTAACTATGTCTGGATCTATCAATTTTTTATGAGCTTAATAAATAACTAATTTGATCAAATACTTTTAATTCAACAAGTAACTTATTAACTTTTATTTTTAAATTTCAACTTACTTTTCATCTTCTAACCATTTTTTTTAATAGTTGTTAAATTTATATTCATAGAAAATTAATAAAAGACTTATATTTAAAATTTAAAAATTTCATGAGTTCTTTTTATTTTGTTTATTTGTGAGAATATTTAATTAATGAATGAATGAAAACAAATATATTATTTTTTATTTTAATTCTTTTTAACCATGGATATTTTTTATGACATAAAAAATTATATATAACTTTCTTTTTTCAGTTAATAATGAATTCAAATAATTATTGTTAGGAAAAAATTCATAAAATGTGTAGTTAATATTAAAAATATAATTAAGTATTTCTCATAAGAATATTATATTGAATCATTTAATAATACCATAATTTTTTTCAGGTTCCATACAATTTAAGGTGTGAATTCTTTCAATCAAATTTTACCATATGAAATATGAAATATACCATTGTTGAATGTGCTAAAAGATTTGATAACCATACTTCAGAAAACAGGACCAAATATAATTTCTGTGAGACAGAGGTATATAGAAATGCTTATTTTCAGTTTGTCATTAATATCTTGCGTTTTTTCTTTCTTTTTTTTCTTAAATCTCGTTTCAGTCAATTAGTTTGAATGTATTGAAATAGTATATGTTTTATAAATAACTTTTAATATTTTTTCTTTTGTTCCTTTATGACAATTAACAAGTGATTCAACTATTATTTAATTATTTTAAAACTTTCTTAAATAATTTTTATTATTTTATAGATAATTTTTTTTTATGTATATGCATGCACGTACATTTATGTGTGAGAAGCTTTTATTATTACATCAATCTCTATTCTTGTTAGTTTATCTAAAAAAAAAATTTCTCTAGTTTACTACTACTTTAGTTTATTTTTACATAATAAAGTAGCTCAATATTAATTAATTTCATTGTTCATCATTTCACAATATAATAAATTAAATCCCAATTAATTAATATATAAATTTTTAAAATTATAAAAAATGAAAGAAATCTATCTAAAACTTATTTTATTGAGATGTATTTCTTTCAAGTTTAATCAAAAGATTTAAAATTATGCGTAACGCCGAATTTATCTGAATATATATGCTTACACAAATATATAGTTATATTCAATGATAAAATAAGAAGCAAGCCTTTCAATTAATGTCATAAAATATGTGAGTTTTCTTCTCTCTTTTCTTCAAATCAATATTTTGATTGTTCCTTTGAAATGTTTATTTCAGTTACATAATTATATATGCAACATAATATATAAAAATAATATTTTACCTAAATCTGTTTTTATATTGTTAGGAAACTATTTATATTCTTAAAAACAATTATAGATATCAATAATATAATATAACTAAAATTATTATTTTTGGGAATATTTATGTTAAGTTTTATTTTTAAGGATAAAAAGAACCATATGGTAATTATATAATTAAAGAGTAATATTTTAAACTTAAAACATATTCAATATTTGTTGGGTGCTATACCAGAGCTTTTGGAGAAGTATTTGTGTGAACTTAATTTGTCTACAAAATTTACGTAAATTAAGTTAATTAGTAAGTAATATACTATTACTTCAAACGTAAATAATTATGTGGTACAACAAATTATGAAATTATTTTATAAAAAATGGTTAAGTACATATAAATATATAAATTGGAAAATATAGCCGAAGTTTTAACGAGGGTTTATCAGTCGGAATATGAAAATATATAGTATAGTGAAATAAATTATTTTCCTATTAAAAAATTCTAATTTAAATTTATTTAATTTTAAATTTGACCATTTGATGAATAATTATATATGGTCTTTTAACATAACTCATTTAGACTTTTAATATAACAACAAATTCATATGGTTTAAATTTGGACATCCTAGGAGTTATTTAAAACCATAAGGGGTTATTTTCCATATAATGAAAATTTAAATATATCAATTGTCAAAACTAAAAGAAAGGTGATCTATTGGCTCTATTAAGTACATATACTTCTCTATCATTTTCTTGATTTTAATCATGTCTCTTTGAATATATCAATTAGAAAAAAAAATGCGACCTTACTCAAATTTTCAAACAAATGTTTGCTTTCTAAATATTTTGATCGTGGACTTTTGTTATAATGTTACTAATTTGAATGTAGCTGAAATATCTCTCGGTTTTATAAAAAATTATAATTATTATGAATAATAAATTTAAATAATTAATGTAATTCCTGAGCGATAAAATCATAAATGATAAATTTATAATATCTTTGCAACACTCGTAGAATGCCCAGGATAAAAAAATATATATTTTTTTTAACCGTAGTTAATGATAAATCAGTTTTTAAATTAAAAACGCACCCTTTTAAGTTGCCCATAAATACTATGTGCACATGTAAGTGACTTATAGTATAGTACCATAGCTAAGCTAATATAAATCTCATTAATAGACAGTCAAATCTTTAAAATAAATTAATCTTCATTCAATTTTTAATCATATGTAAAAAGAGTATTTATGAACCAATTTAATTCAAATATAAATCGTAAAAATTGAATTAAAATTTTGAAACTGAATTATTAAAAAAATTGGATTGAATTGACTTTTTTTATTCTTTTTAAAAAATCAATGGAATTTAATATAAATAATATATATATATATATATAATTTTATTTATTAAATTATGTCTTATTATTGTTTTTCAAGGATATATTTTATTATTTTTGATATATTGATATACTTTTTTAGATCAAATTAAAATTTATTTTGTGTATTATTTTTTATATAAATTTATATTTTATAAATTTTTTTATTTCAAATATATAAAAAATTAGAACTATTTATTTTTAATGTTTCCATTAATTTAAAAATAATATTATAAAAATTGAAGAATAAGCCACAACAGTTGCAACATACATGCAGCATCTCATAATTCCAATTTTTTGCCCATCCATCACCATATATCGTTCGACTCTTTGATTTCCTTTTAAATTCATTCCCATCTCAGCATATGAGGTGCTTATGTCTACGTAGATTTCCTTATCTGGAAGATGCAACACTCACTCATCTCCCTATAAATACCCTTCCTTTCCTCTCCCAAAGCCACACACAACCAAAACCCTCTTTGCAAATTGCAATTATCTTCATTTTCTTCTCTCTCTCTCTCTCTCTCTCTCTCTCTCTCTCTAAGGCTCTCAACAATGTCAGAAAGAATATCCATTGATGTTGAGGAGAGGAGGTTGAAGCGCAAAATGGAGGGGCCACCCACCTTGGCTGAAGAGGAGGATTCAAATCATGATCAGTTACTCGCTCTTGAACTTAACATGAATGAGTCTTCCTCCAACCCCACTTCCAAATCCTTGAAACTCAGTGAGGATTCAGGCTCTCCTCCAAAACATGTTGATCCCTCCAATGACCAAGTGAAAGAAAAGAATCAGCATCATTGCAAGTTTTGCAAGAGGAACTTCCCCAATTCACAAGCCTTAGGAGGACACCAAAATGCTCACAAGCGTGAGAGACTCATTCAAAACATGGAGAAAGAGATGGAAATGAACCCTTTTGGGTTTGGACCCAAAAATAATAACCTTCACTTTTATCCATATTCATTTTCATCCATGTCAAACCTTCCCTTCCAAGGGGCACCCTTTTATCAAGGTGCCCACTTGCACCCCATGGCACACGTGCCTAACATGTCTTGGCCTTATGCACCAACGGGCTATGGCAGCAAACAAGGCTATCCCTATGAAACACACTGTTTTGGGATGTCTAGTTCCTGGGGTGGAGGTTCTGCAACAACTCCAACGAGATTGAACCCTGAGAGTCGGAAGCTTTTTTATAATATTCCTTCACTTTTTGAAACTTCATCTAGTCCCAATGGTGGTTTTTTGGCTGACCTTAAGGGAAGTTCAAGTGTGTCAACTAAAGATTCATCTTCAGAGAAGCTTGACTTGTCTCTTAGACTCTGAATATGTATGTCTTAATTGTCCTTGGCAATTTTGAAATGATTGATGTTTCCCATTAGTCTGTGTGGTTTCCTTGTCTGTGTGTGTTTTAATGGTTTTGTTGTTCGGTTTTGTGTTCTTATTTTCAAGAAAGAATGGTTATCTCAAATAAAGAATCTTGATCCCTTTGTGTACTCAGTTCATTTGAGTCAAATCTTCATTTGTTCTGCTCAGCACTTGAATCTATTTACGAGTACAAGATTGTTTTAATTTACAAATCGAATATTCAAGTTAGTTCTTTTTGTATGATCGATCTCACTTTACTTCTTACAAAAAAATTAAATTGAAACGGGTTTTGGTAAATTTAAGAATTATTCAAAAACCATAAATATTTAAAGACTAAATTCTAGTGAATGATAATTTTATATATAAGAAACTGACAAGTTATAAACCAAATAATGTTAACAAAAAATTGATGGACATAATAAAGAAAAAAAAAGAAAATTTAAACCATTCAAATAGAGTTTTCATTATGAATAATGAATATATGACCGTTATTAAAAAATTGAGAAGAATTATTCAAATTTTGGTTCCTCCTAACCACTTGAGCTCAATTTACTTCCTTTTATTAATATGTTTTCTAAGAATAATCTTTAAATTATTTTAAGTTTTTATTATAAATTTTAAATGCTAATCATAAATAAGTTGTGGTAAAACTCTTAAATGATTTTTATTGTCTAATTATGTTTTAATGGTTTATCATAAATGAAAATTATACTTATAATAAAATAATGAATAACTCTAATAGTACACTCTCTTTAACACATTTTTATTAAAAACTGAAAAATATAAAAAGGAAATATTAATTTAAAATAAAAAATTAAGTACTACATAATTTTTATAATTTTAAAAATAAATTTTAGTCATTAATGGAGTATATGTTATAAAGAATGTGTTGCTAATATTATTTATATCTATAAAATAATAAATTTGTCTTAAAATATGCGATTTAATATTTCTCTTTTATTCTCCAGAGTTAGTGAAGAAAAGAGCAAGAGAAAATCAAGAAACTAAGTTGGTCAAAGGTTACGACCTATCAAAATGGAATCTAATTGCATTCCATACTCGGCAATTTATCTACTTTTAATTCGCTTTTCCGTCCTCTAATAGATAATAAATACATATCTGTGTATGTAATTAAACATAAAATAATACATTTAAAGTTTCTTTTTATTGATAAATAATAGATATATACATTTACACAAATTTTCATAAATAAACTTTTTAAACTATTTATATTGTGTTACTATACATACATAATCACGATTAAATTTTTTATTTTCAATTTGAAATGAAAAATTATGAAATTCAAATTTTCAGAAAAAATTATAAATATTACTTTTAGTTGAAAATTTTGAAGAAAAAAATAATATCCCAATTCTTCTTATTCTTCCAAATTACTTGAGCTAGACTTATGTATATTTACAGTTTTTACTTTCTAAGAAAAAAATTTAAAATGTTAAACATGTTTATAATAAGTAAAAAATTATAATTAGAATGAAAAGTAATTTTTCTCATTATTTGGTTAAGTTTTTCCCTTTTATTGTCATGAGAGGGTGACGAGAAGAGTAAGCGAAAACCAAGAAACTGGTCAAAGGTAACGAACTGTAAAAATGGAATCTAAACGAAATAGAAAAACTTTTTAATTCTTAAACGTAGTTTCCACGCGAAATGAAATAATATTACCATAAGCATGACAGATTTAGGATTAAATTATTATTATTATTATATTGAAAATATTTTTAGGCTAAAACAAATCTCAATATTTTCATGACCAATTAATATAAAAGTTAAGTCACATAACTTCTAAATAATAAACATCTAATCTTAATTATTTATGAATAGCTATGTAAATAAAAAAAATTTGTTATTATTTTTATATAAATTTTATTTTTATTAAATACATCTTTATTAATTATTACTAATAATTATAATTTAATATTTTTTATTTTAAAAAATTATTTTATCATATAAAATTATTAAGCGTATAAATATAATTATTGATATAAGTGTGTGCGCGCGTGAAAATATAGCATATTCATACTTCTTTGAGTCATATAAGATACACACTACAAGTAATTTGATAAGAATTCTTTTACAATTGTAATATATAAAATTCATTTACAATTATAATATATGAAATATAACGAGTCATATGCGATAAAAAAAAAAGTATAAATGTGTTTACACAAATTTTATATATAAAGTTCATATACCAAGTATATTATTTTTATCTTATGCACAATCATGACAAACATGTTTTTTATTTTCAATTTAAATTTTCAAAATTACGAAAATAAAATATTAAAATTCAAAGAAAAGTATTTAAAATTAAATACTTACAAATTGTAACAAGAAAAATAAAAAAATATTTATACGTTATACCATTCATGAGTATATTGCAATAAAATAAATAACTTACCAAGTATTAACTAAAACATTGTAAAAATGTAAACGCTTGTGCAGTAAAGAACTAAAATGATATTTAAGACAAAAATGTTTTTATTTTCTTTAGAACAAACGAAAAATTTGAAGATTTATATAAGTCTATAGGCTTGATATTAAGTAATAAGAACACTTCCTGCAGTTGATTGATTTGCACATCAATTATTTAATACTTTTTCTTCTGAAATTTAACTTTTTTAAGTGACCAGTTAAGTTATTCTCTATTTTTATTGTTTAATATCATTTACCCTCTTTATTTGTGAATATAGCAATTTTTAAAATTTTATATTAATATTATTATATCATCCTTTTCTATTTTAAACTTTCCTTATATGATTATCAAATTTGAGCAATGAAGAGACATATATTTTGTTATTTCCAAGTATTTACTTTCTTTATTCTTATTTGTCATCTTTAGGTATACATTTCACTGTAATAATATTTTCTAACAAATAGATATAAAAATTGCTAACAAATAGTCATTGAAAAAATTAACAGACCAAATTAATTTAATCCTTAAAAAATAAAAATTACTATATTGTCTTTTTAAAAAATTATAAATACGTTAGTTCTTCTGATAAAATTAAATACTCTTGTTTAATTTACCAAGATTATTTAAGTAACACGTTAAATAGCTTGAGACGAATCATTAATTTTTATCTAATAAAATAACTTTTTTGGTCAAATTAGTCTCTTACAATTAATTCTAGTGTTTATAAATATATAAATTGATTTTAGTGAATTTTTTAGAAGTCAATTTGATAAAATAAATAAATAAATAAATATTTTTTTACAAAAATTATCGTTTCACTAAAATAAATTAAAAAGTATTTGATGATATTATTTTTCCATAATTTGAGTGTTTAGTCTTTAAAGATAAATTTTTTATTAGCACTATTCTTTTGAAACTAATATAAAGAAATAGTTGTTATCTTGTTCTTTGCACAGATTACTTACAAATAAAAATTAAATGTTTTATATTATTAATTATATAAAAAATTATCACTCATTAATATTTTATTGTTTTATCTGTAATTTAATAATATTCTTACACTAAATTTAAATAATTTAATTAAGATTTTATATTAAATTCATATTGATCTTTTAATATTTTTATTTATAAAAATAATGATAAATGAGATAGTAATTTCATTTTTTTTTTTCATTCAATTATTAGGCTACCGATCCTGAGTTTGAACTTTGCTTAAGCTTTTCTCTCATGTAAACAATATTTACATTGAAAAGTGGAAGTGAAAGGAACAAGAGTACTATAACAGCATAATAATAATAATAATAATAATAATAACAATAACAATAACAGATAAAAACAAAAAATATTACATTTTTTAAATATTTTTAAATTTTTAAAGAATAATTTTTCTTTAGCATTTGTCTTAAATGTATTAAAAGCATACCATTTATTTATTACTCTTTTAAATAATTAAAAATACTTGACAGAAAGTATTAAATATTTTTAACAAAATTTTCCTTAAAGCATTCAGCAAGACCTTGAAAAGATTAATGACGGAAGTGTAAAGAAAAACAGTAAGACAATAAATGAGATTAAAGTAAAAAAATTATTTAACAATTTAAATAAGAAATAACTAATGCTGAATATGTTGGAGCAATATAAATCTTTTAAAAATGTTTTCATTTCAAATGATAAATTCAAATCAAATGGAAAATTAATGACTTTTAATATATTAAATGAATATATATATATATATATATATATATATATATATATACACCAAGTAATATTTAAAGATTTTAATAAAATATTAATTGTTTGACTTTAATTATAGTTTAAATAAATATAATAATTCGTACACAAACAGATTAAATAGTAAAGAAAATTTAATGAAATTATTTCATTGCTAAGATATTTATTATTTTTAAATCCTTGGAAAAGTATCTTAAATGTTAATTAATTTAAAATAGAAGAAATGCATGAAAAAAATAGATCATTAATCAATTGTATGTATATATACTATGAAAAAATTTTAGCTGCGGTTAATTTTGATTATAAAGTGAAATGGATACGAATCAACGTAAGTTAGTTTTTATTGGTAAAATAACAAATTAGTTGATAAAAACAAAAGCCCAATTCATTGATAGAAGGTAAGGGATGGCATTTATATAGTTTTTTTTTTTCCTTTATAGGTTATAAACACTACTATATATACCATTTATAACAGCAAATCATTTTACATTTTTACCATTGATTTTCAAAATTGAACATTTCCTTTTATATCGAGGGGTGTCTTTTTAATCGCATTCAACTCAAATATTTGCGATAACTAGGTTGCAGATTAGATAAACTTTTAAAATAAATATTTATAAAAAATAATAGGACAAAGGAGTAAAATATTTATAAATTAAAAGTAACTTATATTTTTAAATTTTTTAAAAACTAAATAAAAACTTCTAAAAAATAAAAAAATATGTTATATTTATCTTAAAAGAGTTATTCATTTTACTATTTAATTTTTTATATATTAAAAAATTTATCCTGATGTATTTCCTTTCCAACATAGAAATCCACATTCCTACCTCTGATGTATTTGATACATCCGACTTATATAAGACTTGGATCAATGCTGATTGAGCTACAAACTCATGTACTTAACTTATACATGAAAATTCTTTAAATTATTGATAAACACAATAAAAGAGACCATACATTTAAATTATCACATTGATATAATAATGTGAGATTCAAAAATTCAAAAGATAAAAATATTAAAAAAGGAATCGATTAACTTAATCAAAATTTCTAAACAACTTCTTTGGAAACAATATTTAAAGTAACACTATCATGATATCATTGTTTTGACATATAAAAACTTTCAATCTTTTATAACTTGTAACTCTTGTAAATGTCCTATATAATTAGCTATAAGAGTAAAAAGTCATGGTAAATAAACTGTAACATGTTTGAAAGATTGTCTTTAACTTTTATTGATTATCATTGAAAAAAAAAAGTTATTAAAAATTGTCTCCTTTAAAACTTAAAAGGAATTCTATTTTTAGATAATGTTATAGATAACTTTGGAATTAAATCTTTTTGACTTCTCAACAACATTAAAAAAACCAACTTTTACTTTAAACTCATGATGAGTAATGTAAGAGGAGTTAATAGTGTTTAGAAACTCAAGAGTATGTAAATTATTAGGCCTGTAAAAATCAACATTTGCTTGTATGTGTATTAATCCACAATAGAAGCCAAAGGATCACCTTCATCTTGTATAAGCAAATCCTCAAGTATGTCTTTCTTCTTTTGGAATAACTGGCAAAATTTGTCAAAAATTTCCTCCAAATGGTTTGTCCAAACTATCATGGTTTAAGAATCTTAAGATGTCTCTAAATTAACATTCTATCTACAACCTCAAAACTGATTCAAAGTATGATTAAACATGATTAAAGAACCAGAACCATTGTCATCTATTACACTCACGTTAACCTTGAACTTATCCCATAAAAAAAAAAAAAAGAGTTGACATAAACATATTTTCTATAATATATATATATATATATATATTATAGAAAATATGTTTATGTCAACTCTTTTTTTTTTTATGGGATAAGTTATATATATATGATCAACATTGTATATATACACTTTAATTTCACTTGTACCTCAAGTAAGGTGCACAAAACTTTTAACAATTTTCACATTCCAACTTCGGTCAACTTTCTTCAACACTTAAAAGCACAATTCGTATTTAACATCCTTTACCCAGGTCAAAGTCAAATAGTCTGGCAAAAATTATACCATAACATGACTTTAAATTACCAAATTAACATTTAATTAGGATTTAAACTAAATGGATTGGAAGAAAATGATTATTTCAATATTATACATAATTCAAAAATGTTCATCCCTCGATAACATCATAAATTTAAGAAATTGACATCTTTTGTGTTTGCAATAAATCCTCTTCTAAGAAAGTGATGTATGCCTTAACATTTGACTTACCACCTGAGTGGAAGAATCATCAATATCCAACAGCCTACAGTCCAAAGAAATGAAAACAAAATAAATAATTTATTTATTAAGATATAACTTTTCTTAGAAGAACAACTAAAGAAGAAAATGGTGTACCTATTCTTATAATCAATACCTTTGAAATCGAAATTTATAAGTAACTTTATCCATTGAAATTAGTAATGTACCTAAAATATTCAAATGCAAATTTTATTAATCAATTATTTTGAAATACATACATTCATAATATATTTGATTCCAAATTTTTTCTTTTAATCATACCATTAAAAGTTTTCATCCTACGTAATAGAAGAACAATAACACATGAGCTGCTTCAATTCTCCTTAATAAGAAAACTCATCATTTGCTCAACAAATTTTTCCCTAAGAGTACAAACTATCCCTTCATTCCTACAATTAATATAAAGGTTAATATATTAATAAAAATAGGCAAACTAGAAATACATGAAAAAAAATTCTTAATGAAACAAATTTGAAGAGAACACACTCCAAATCATGTAGAATAATCTCAATGTGCTTGCTCTTTCCATCTCTCAAACTTTCTCTTAAATCATCTTTTTCCACTAGATGTTAATAACATCTACTATTTATGGAAAAAAAAACAAAAATAAATTCATTTACTATGGATTAGGCAATATCATTTCATTCCTTCTAAATACCTTCCAATGAGATTAGTTTCATCAATTTCCTTCAAAATTTGTGAGAAAAAAAATGAAATCAAAGAGTTAAATGAAATTCCCTAACTATTGTAATTCCAATAAAAGTTAATTTCCACTTGTATTCTGGTGGACCAAACTTCATGTCAACCTTTGCCACCATAAGTTTATGAATTTCATAAACTTTTCTTTCTTTCCAAATACCCTCAAAATTTGAAATTAGACTCCTTATGATCACATGTATATTTTCTCCCTGGAACATGTTGTTAAGTTAAAGTCTTTATATACTTATATAATTTTGAATTTAAAAAATTAAAACTAACTTTTTCATCCAACAATATCAAGTTTAAGTTGTTTTCTTAATTGTGTTTATTGTACTCATACTATTTCAATAAATGTATGACATGCACTTTAATCTTCCAATCAACTCGGTAGGCATAATTGCAGAAATAAAGGAGAAATTTGAAGTCATCCTAACAACTATTGAAAGGTAAGTATTTTGTAGATGAAGTTGTAGAACTGATATATTCAAAATTAAAAATGAAAATATAACAGTACTTCAGTTATAGTTATCAAAATCTAAGAGAGAAATTCTATATACCTTCAGTAAAAATGTAAAACATCATCATCGCAGCTTAAGGAGAGTTCTTAAGAGTAAACATAGAGCAAAGAAATTGAATCTTTATATATACAAAAAACACCATGTAGGACTTTATAACGGGAAAGACAATAAATTTATAATTATCTAATCATTTTACTTTATCTATTTAATTCTATAAGTGCAACACAATGTTTGCTAATATTAACTTGTACAGGTTTGCATGTAATGCATTTATCATATTGTATTTTTCCAAAGAGACATAATAATTCATGAGCAAGGTTCAGTTATTTAAGAAAGATATACCTATTTCAATTTATTTTTGAATTGAACCTTTGAGATCTTAAAAATACTTACTAAATCTTTATATTAATTACAATCATTTTAAATTTGAGCCTGTAAATGCTTAGAGAAAAGGAAAAAAAGTCAATCTAATGTTAATTGAAAGAAGTTAAAAAGACAAAATAATTAATAACAGTGGGCGAAAAAAATTAGGTAAACTATTACTAAAAATATTAATTACCGTGTAATATGCAAGTTTTGGAGGCAAAATTCTCACAAGAATCAAATTATATGATGTAAATTACATTTATTTTTATACCATTAATAATTTAATATAAAAATTATTTTCATTAATCTAAATGTTAAATTATAATTATATATTACATAAAGATTACAATCAAAATGTCTTTATTTTTATATATTTCAAATATATATATTACATTAAATTTGACGCATATATAAAATATTAAATAATTTTAAATCAATCTCAAATTTTTTAAATTTATGTAATGGAAAATTTTAATCGAATTATTAGTTTTAAAGATAAATTATCTAATAAAAAATTATTAAATGATGTAAAACAAATGTAACTTACATCAATTCAATTTAATTAGATTGATCATTACAGGTAAGGTAGTTAGCGTGACAATGATCATTTCAATCTGTATTTCTCGTGGACAGTCTGTCATATTTACCATCTTCAAACAGTGACATACTTAATTATATTAATTTTCAAACAACTTTGATTTTTTTTTTCACACTCCTATTTTTATAATTACCTCCATTTCATTTTACCTTTCTCTTTGTGTTTCATTATATCATTTATTATATTGATTACCTTTTTCTTTTCTTTTCTTTTTTTTCTCAAATTGATAGGTACACCTTGAAAACAATGTTTTTAGTTCATTTAAATTATACTTTTATTCCTTCCAATTTTGAATATTATACAATTTTAATCTCTCAATTTTTTTTAAAAAAATTAATCAATTCTTTCTCTTTTTTAATTATATAAACTTAATCTCTCTATTAATATTTTTTACTTAAAACTTTTAAATCAGTATTTTTTTAATTCAAATATTCATTTGAGTGTTTATGATAGCTTTGAGATATGAAATAATTTTATAAGTTCAGAAATAAAAAATTTAATGAATACTTGATAAAATTTAAAGAATTATAGATGACATGATATAAGAGATTGAAGAGAAAAATGATAATATTTTTATATTTTGAATAATTGTAATTTAACTGATTTAATTTGTAAATATTTTAAGTAAAAATGAGAATTTAAATATTTTAAATGAAAAATGAATAAAATATTAGATTTTCTTAGTCTTAAAAATAGAAAAATTAAAAAAATAAAATGTCACAATTTTTAAAAAAAAATGAAAGAGCAATTAAATCTTTCCAATTGCAAGTAACCAATCGTGTAAAAGCAGCTGTCATGAATTGCACTAGGATATGATTATGCATGCAAGTATAAAAGTAAGGTGCCCAGCAGTGTACAATTAATGCATCACATTGCAATATGAATCACCAAAATTAAGAAAACATAAAAATTACATAATCACGGGTATATGAAAACCCACTTGGATAGCGTACAACTCTATTTTGACAAAGAATGGTAAAAGGTTTTTTCAAAGGGAAAAAATAATATAAAGTTGATTGATGGAATGGATGGCATGTGCACCTAACCAATCCCTATTCCATCCTTGTCACATGAACTTAATTAGTATCTACAATCTACACTAAGAATATTTGGCATATTATTGTACAATTACAAGCGACAGTGATTCATCTCTGGCTTTGGTTACCTATCTCCCTAATAATCATATACTTCCAGTGTCCCAACTTTTGCTTCAATTCTTGCACTTCTTTTCCTCAAAAACTGCATGCAAAAGATCATTAAAAATCTCCAAAAACGATTCCCATTCACCTTGGTTGAGGTCTCCAAAGGAAATGCCACCAGTTTCATCACAAATAGACCCTCCTTCAGTTTCTTCTTTGCATCTCTCATTGTTGGAAACACGAGCCTTGACTTGCAAGCAAATATTTTCCATTTCACTTGCAGATTCTTCACCACCACAAAGTTCCCTAGTCATCATTTGGCCTATATCAGCAAGACAAAGGCCAGCAGCAGCAGCATGCTTCAAGAAAATGGTGCAAACTATAAGAACACGAATAGAAGACTCCCTCAATAGAGGAATCTCAGTTCTCAAAATCTCTGCATCTTTAAAAGGGTCAAGTTTGGAAATGTACTCTAGTTCATTTTCAGAGAAAGGAATGGAGGCTTGTGGCCAATGCAGCCACTCAAAATAAGGATCATCCAGCCACTCAGGGAGGCAAAAACCATGGTCAATAGGAACAAGGTCAAAAACTCCTTGATGAACATAACTAGTACTATTGTGCTCATGTTTCATCACAAGCATATTCCCTGCATGTCTATCAAGATTCAGAATCCTAATGTCTAGAATCCCAATATGGTGGACTGAATCAACTGAGAAGAATGAAGGACCCAACTCCCCAGCATCAAAACCATGACCAACAAAGCGTTGGAGTGAGGCAATTTTAGGCATGTGAGGATGGACTTCGGTTGAATCAGTAGTAGCAGAAGTAGCAGTACTAACGAAAAATGCAGCATGAGAGAATTGCACTAAAGCAGTAGGAGGCACACCAGCCATGCCTCCATGATCAAGGAGATAAGCACCCAATTCTCTTATACCAGTTTCACCAATCCTAATTGATTTCTTTAGGCCAGGTTGGCCCAACATGTGACCCCCTAACCCTTTTGGGTTGTTGAAGGCTAAAGGTTCTTCATCTATAGGCTTTGCCACAGCAATGTTGTTGCCACTTTGGTTGGGGAAAACATAGGCACCACCTAGGCCACTTGGGAGTGGTGTTGGTTGAACCCCTGAGGCCATTGCTATTGCAACCTCAACAACTAGAGCATGCACTGGAGCTCCACTTCCACGAACTATCTCAACCCTTGGATGGTTAGAACTGAGATCTTCCCCTGATAGGGGGAGGCATGGAGTGGAGACACTGCGGTGAATATTATCGGCTTGAACTGCTACTGCTAGTTCTAAGGAGTGGGAAAAAGTACTAGTTAAGCCAACTTCTACAATGTTGGGATCAATGTGACCAAAGGATTGGAGTTTGCATCTCTGGGATCGGCTAAAATGCTTAAATCCATGATGTTGATCAATGGCCACAGCCATTTCGAACAATCTCATTCAGATGAGAATGGCAGTGGTGGTGCATTCCTCACCAAATCCCCTCAAACTAAGCTACTTTCTCAAGGCGATGCCATCTGCAGGTTCATAACAACCACCAAGTTAAGCCACTTACCTCATAAGGAATCAATTCATCAAATTAGTTGACATTTAATGTATATAAAATGCAGCGAAACAAGATTGTAAAGACTCATTGACTCAATACACTTTCCTTTATAAGTGTGTGTATCTGAGCAAGTTCATGAAATTCATTTTGATCTACAATATCTCAATATTAAATGATACAATCTCATGCAGGAGACAAATAAATAAATTATAAGCTTGGCCCATAAATACAGTCATTCTGGTTTATTAATGATCTTCATACAATATTAGGTGCAAAACATGCATATGCCATTGATAGAACAAGAAATAAAAAATATAAGCTAAATGAGAATCCTAATTTGATCTTATTTCTACTACATCATTCCCTTTTAAAACAGTAACATACTAACATATGTGTACACAAAATCTAAATTTGATTTGATGAATTTATCCTTAAAAATATATCCTTTTTTATCATAAAACATCAAATGGAATCTGACTACTAAATAAGAAATTAAAATGCAGCTAAATTTCTTACTGTGTATTGGCTTTAATGGGGTAAAATTCAAATGTTGTACTCATCGCTTAAAATTTGGATACCAAATTAACGGACAAACAGGCTAACTCTGCACATTTTTTCTTGAATCCCTTATAACCTGCAAATTTCCCAACCACAAACGTAAATAAAATGGTCCAAATCAAAATTTACATATATGTAATACTTTTCAGAGGCCAAATCCATCCCTCGCTCCTCGTCACATAAATTGCATTGCCTTGCCACAATCTTTATTTTTGAACCAAAGATCACGACCAAAACTAAACCCTTCTTTAGTACATAATATATCACGCCTTTTTATCCACCCATGCAAACACATAGCAACCATAAGACATCAACACAATCTGTCACATAATTCATTAACGAATTGCGTAGAGGAATCTTTTACGTGCATGCATGGCAATGCACCAATTTTTTTAAAATGCTAACAAACAATTTTTTTTTAAAAAAAATGTTATATGCAACTTGATCCATTTTTTCTTCTCTTGATTTCCCTCACAATTTATAATAAGCAGCAACCAAATAAGAAAAAAGGAATTATACTATATAGATAGATAGATATACCCTGAACACTGGGAAGGTATTCAGGGAAACAAGAAGCAACGGGAGCGCGAGAGAATGAAACCGTCGCCGGAGTAATATGGAAATAAAAGTCCACTTCCACTCCCACTCCCACTCCCAAACGCTAATATTCCCCTGCCTCGATTCACAAACCCTTTCTTTCTTTCACTCTTTTCCCTCTCTTTAACTATCTTCTCTTTTTCCTTCTATTTTTGCTGCTTCACGCCCCACATCGACATTTGGCATCTTTTCACACACTAATTCTTAATTATCGAACATTTTTATTTAGCGTTAACTAACAAACTGTCTTAGGTTGTGGTCAACTTCTTCCTCTTTTTCCATTCCAAGCTGTCTTTTCCTTTTATTAGTTTCTGGCCGTTTATATGTTCTCCGTACCACTCGTTTGTTTTCTATTTCCTCAGAATGAGATTCGGTCTCACATCAACATTCTACTTTTTTTTTAATTATTATTATTATTTACTTATCGATGATGAAGTTATTGGTTAATCAGATATAATTTAATAACTTATTTATTCTGTTAAAAGAACAATAAATTTAAAAAATTCATTTTGTACAAAAAGAGCTTCTCGAAGACCCCTCTAGAAAATATTTGTTCTTTTAAATATGGCTTCGCTTTGTTATAATTGAGAAAGCAGTTTCAAATACAAAGCCTTTCTTTGAGTGCATTTTCTATTTATAAATAATTTTATTTAACATGACCATTTTAAGTATTATTTAATTCAAACGCAAATATAAATGATGGTTTGAGTGCACTAGGCGGCGGGCATCAATGGTGAAAATCTGACTCAATTAAAGAGAATGGAAACATGCACACAATTCATTTGTGTGGAGCGAACAATAAAAAAAACTAATCATTTGAGGGTAAGTTTGTATAATAACTTAACCATTTATTCAATAAATTCTTATTATATAACGAGTTTATACCATGATGAATATCAATAAAATTTATCGACATAAATTAAAAGAAACTTATTTTAAAAAATATATTTAAATAACTGTAAAAACTTAACAAGAATTATAAAATATTTTCGTAAAGACCTTCTAAATGTACTCTAAATCTTTTGATTAGATAATAGACAAACCGTTGTTAATTAATTTAATATACCCAAGTATAAATTTCTCAAATTCCAAGACAACCAGAGTATACATCAAGTCCATGAATAATGCACAGGCTCTTCTAATAGATAACAGCAATGTCGTTTGCAGTACGTAGCATTGAACATATAAGAATAATCTTTATTGAGCTTATCAGAAAATATGATTGTTTCTTAATTTCCAGATAAACCATCAGTTAAAGACTACAGCTACGGAAAGCTTGCAACGTAGTCAATTTCAACAACTTAATGTCTGTTTTAAAATTAAGTAGAATTAATCCTGATAAAATTAATGACAAATCATTAAACATAATTGAAATTTGTGGCCAAAATAACCTCAACCATAATAAAATTTACATTAAAATGTGTGGCCAGTGAAAAGAAATGATTTTGGAAGTCAAACAGATCCTCATCAGTGATTATCAATGATAAAGCCTGACTTAAATCTTACGTGAATTTTTATTATTAATAATTATAATTGCATTACGAGTTCCTCTTGTAGGAAAGAAAAAAATTACTATGATTATTATAGCTAAAACTTAGAGGCACATAAGGCTACACTATACAAACACATGCTTCAAGATTTATGGGTTCTTTATTAAGAAACATAATTAAGGAAAAAGATGGAGCACAGGAAGGATGATCCTTATTGTTTTCTTCATTGTTTCAGGTTATGATATGAATAGTATGAGCATGGATGAAATTAGCTACAATTTCTATTTGACGACACGAGGCTTTTCTCCATTGCTGGCAATCTTCTGCTTCTCAGAAACAGCTTCTGATACTGACAATTTTGACGCTATGCTCCCTTCTATTTCTAAATCTTCCTGAGGGAGTGATCTTCCACCCCAACGTACAAGATCTTTGATGATGGTTTGAAGCTCCTTATCCTTAATCAGTGATTCCAGAGTCACATGCACACCTGACAACAGTCCAAAAGCACACTTAAGATCACAATTTTCCAATGAAGAGTGCTAAGAATGCACTCTCGGTTGTTAGATGAAATTTAAAAAAAAAACTACAAAAAAACGAGTGAGCATCTTGTGAGACTCTCATAGTTTGAAAGAGTGTGTTAGAGATGCTGCTGGCATTTCTCTTGTCCAAAAAGCAGTTCTATAGTCACAGATTATGTAGAATAATATAGCTTTGAGACAAAGCTCAAGACATACGGTATCTCCAATAATGCTTTGGATTGGTAGGGTCGTTGATTGTCTCCTCTGTTGCAGGGCGTGTTCTGTATTCTCCTTTTAATGCTAACAAGTCCTGTCCACACAGACACAGTGCACCCAGATTATGAGCATGATTTTCATCCGCAGAGAAATAATTATAATGAAGCCAGTCCAGAAAGCCATAAACAACTAGTGCAGTCCGAAAGGGCAATCTTAGGAAATTAAACAAAATCTAACAACTTTTTTTAGCTAAATTGTACTTTTGGTCTTTCTAATTTGGACTCTATAATTTTGGTTCCCTTAATTTCTTTTAGTTAATTAAGTCCCTCCACTGTTTAAAATATTTGGTCCCTTCATCAATTTTCTTTGACCTAAATCTCATTCTCATTTCTACTCAAAATCCTTACAAATTGAATTGATTAAATTATTTTAAACCTTCTTTTATTCAAAACTCACCAACCAAAATATCAATTTTCAGTCAAAATAAAAAAGAAATTCAATACTTACTTTCTTCGAATTCTAATCCCACTTCTTATTAAATCCTAAAAATCTTATCAAATCACCACAAAATTTTTGGACTTCTAAACATTTAAAATAATTCCATATTATAAACCTATCATAACCTCTCTCCCCCCCTCCCCCCAAAATAGTCAGACAAAAAAATAATAATTTGAGTTTTACGTAAAACAACCAAATTTGCTTAATTTTTCAAATACATGAACTTAGTTAATTAAAAAAAAATAGGGGATCAAAATTGTACATGGTCCAAACTAAATAGACAAAAAATGCATTTAAGTCTACTTCTGTTCATCATGTCAGAATAGAATACCTGAAGAGGGAAGATTGCCCACATTGATGGGGCTTCAAAATGTTGCCTTATAATAAAATGGGCAACTTCTGGCACACATTGATCAGGTGGCAACTCGTCAGACTCCACCACATTCTTGAAAAACCGGTGTCTTCTTTCTTCATCTTCTTCCCACCATGCACGCAAGGTGGAACAGTCATGACAGGATGGGGCACATACCTGCACATTGTCATATGTCATCCAATCAGTAATCTTACAGAAGCCCTCTCTGACTTGAAAACTGACATTAGTTCTCAATAAAGCAACTTAGATTTAGCAGCTAATAATTAAGGAACCCTAAATATCTATTCCCAAAACCAGCAACTTTTCACTCTTTACGGTTTTGTTGGAATTATAAGGTTTTAGGCATTGAGTGGAAAAGGGATAGAAAAAAGAGTGAATATTTTGAAATTGATATTAATTTGAAATAACATGTTGACATGATAGTTGTGATACTATATGATCCAAAACATATGGCACTAACTCTATTTATACTAATACTCTACTAGTCATAATCCTAACTAAATAATGAAGCAATATGAAATCTAAATGAATATGGATACTAACCTAATAGATACTCAGATATTCTAAATTATACTAATATTATTCTTCATATATTCTAACAGGTTTTTAAACACTTCAGATAAAATAAGATCAGTTTTAGAGGATTCATCATTCTGTGGATCGTTTTTTTTTTTAAATATGGGATCATGAAGCCTGAAAAGGAAAAGAAAAACTAAACATGTTTCTATGAGTTCAACCAAAGGCACCTAAATAAAATTAGGACAAGCAATAGCACTTAGAAACGTTACCGTCATGTAGCTGTATTGAGAAGGAATACCAAATTCCAGACCAGGTTCATTGGGCATGCGTTGAATGCGCAACCCAACTAATCCCAATTCTTGCATAACCTAGATCAATATACCCAAAAATAATGAAAATAAAAAATATTTTTATAATATCTTTAGGATAAGTTTGTGTGAGTGTGAATTAGAGAGATGTGATGTTGTTCTGGAATAGGCATACAGGATGGACACAAGATGGAATGAGGCCCAAATCTTCCCCACAGGCCAGTATGTCGGATGAGTTTAGAAGTACAGGCAGGGTCTTCAATGCATTTTGCCTCCAAAGATTCTCTTGACGATGGAAATAGTACTCATAGTATAATCTTTTGAGAACATTCTTGCTGTGTTATATGATAACCAATAAGAGATCTTATGAGAAGATATCTCAAGGAAGTCAAATCAGAATGTGAAAAGAATTTTTGCCATGAAGGCAGGACAGTTTTCAGCGTCAAAATATGCTGAGAAGTAGGCATAATTGTAGGACCATCATCAATGGGATTGTACAGAGACACACACACACACACAAAGATAATTGAGGTACCTTTTGTCATCCAAATCCATGAAACTTGAGGTATCTTCAAGGTTGAAGCGAGGATAAAATTTTCTTGGATCCTCTGGATCTCGGATTAGAACTATATTCTGCAAGCCAATAGCATAGAACATATTGTAGGACTCGTAATACCAAGATGGCCCAAATCAGAAGACAAAAAGATTCAAAATGTATAAAGAAAAGCCAATTCTAAGATTGAAGAGTGTAAATTGATTTATCATCAGTGTAAAAATTTTCGTTCTCCGAATTAACAAAAAAGGGTACCACATCATTGCACCAGCTTAGATTTTCTCTTTCAGTGGATGTACCGTAAAACAGCAGAACCATGGTTTACTGAATAGTGTAAAACTCTTAACACGGTCAGTAAATCAAAATCAAATCCAAAATTAATTAGTTTTGACTTTCAGTATAAATATCAGCACAGTGAGTGGGGGAGAGAAGAGGAAAATGATCAAGGAAGCAAAGTTGACAAAGCTACCTGTATAAGATTGAAGAGATTGCGCAGCATTTTGTCTTCACTCTCCAACAAGAGAGAACTTTCAGTACAGGTTTTCAGTTTGGAAGCAATTTTTTTCTCCGTGTTGCTGTCCTCCTTGAACTAAAACCATTTGTGGAAAATAAATATATTTTTTAGCAAGACAATTCAATACTCAGACAGAATATTTATAATGATCACAACAGAATTGACAACAAATTCAATCACAGATGGGCATATTTAGAATTAATCAACAAAAGTGGACATGTCATGCTTTCACATCATACATGATAAAATCTCTAGACCACTCAGATTGGTGCATTACCTGCAATTTAGTTAACTAAAATATGATCTTTTCACAATTTTTTCAGAACTAATGAACAACATCAATACTGTCATAAAATAAAGAGTATTTTTCACAATTTTTTCAGAACTAATAAACAACATCAATACTGTCATAAAATAAAGAGTATTCATTCAAACAAATCAAGTATGGTTTGAAATTACATTAAGTATAAAAAACATAAATATAATACACAGTTCAAACATTAAGGTATCAAAATCAAATTAAAAAGAACACTGACTGAACCAAGCAGAGTTCATTCACATAAATTTATGATCAAATTTAATGTTCTGTAATATAAGCCTATAGGAGTTGGTTATGAAATATTAAATAATTAAACTAAGTCATTCCCTACTTCCCTCATGGCTAAAATAGATGATGGTATCCTATGCAACCATGCAGGAATCAATAAATATTAGAAAGAAAATCGATAAAGAAAAGGATGATCACCTCATAACAGTTCTTATCCAATTCATTTAAAAAAGTTGTTGCAACAAAAGTCCAAGCAGCACCAAATTTTTCCTGTAACAAGAATGAACATGATATAGTACAACTTACCCCCAATAAACACATTTACAACACTTATGAAAATCCAGCTAGCTGCCTGAAGGTAAATTTTTCACATATTATGAAAATGCAGTTGTAGTAGCCTGATAACCTGTAATAGTTTCTGCCTAATATATGGGCGACTCAAGCGATTAAAGTCCCATATTCCTTCTCTTTCAAGTTCTTCCTACAATAGATATGACATGAAGTATAAATTGACTAAGAAAAGAAAATTTGTTTCTTTTGCTAGTTAGAGAAGTTCAGCACGTCTTCACTGTATCAAGTGCCCTTTCAATTTATAAGAACATACAATACCTGACTAAGAGCAATAGATGGCCGGAATTTTCCAACTAGACCTGTTGCGGCATGATCTGGAAGTTCCCAGATTCGGAAGAATCCCAATATGTGATCAATCCTGTAAGCTGTAAAATATTTTGCCATCTGTCATTGATTAAAAAAAAAAATTCAGCCTCTATAAGTTGGGATAGATTATTGTCCAGTTAAGTACAAGATAAAAAATTCAAAACCAAAACCTGTGTCAATCTAGCTCGCCACCAAGCATAGTTGTCCTTTGACATTTCTTCCCAATTATAAGTAGGAAAACCCCAATTCTGGCCATTTTTATCAAAATAATCTGGAGGTGCCCCAGTAGAAGTGTTCATTCGGAACAAGTTTGGATAAACCCAGGTATCCACACTGTTTCTGTCAACTCCGATAGGAAGATCTCCCTTCAGTACTACTCCCTTCTTTCTTGCATATTCAGCAGCTTCTGATAACTGTCAGAACAAGACGAAAGCAAACAAAAAAATTTATTTGTTTTAGTGCTTTACTGCCAAGAAGAACTTACAGAGGATAGGTTTCTTCACTCACTTGTAAATGTAGATGGTATTGAACATAGTAGTGGAAGCATATTATCTCATAATGCAGGCTTTCCTTGGATACAAGTTTCTCCAGCTGTAAAACAACAGCAAATAGAAAGTCTCAACATAACCAGATTTATTTTACAGAAAAGAAAACACCAAGGCATATATACCTTATCTTCTGAATAATGAGCAAAACGACCCCATTGACTGCGATCTGATGTTTCAAAAAAGTCCCGCAGGAAACAAAAAGCAGCATAAGGTTTCAACCAACCCTGTTACCATCAAGAACAAAGTTGAGTCAGATGAAGGGTTGCCCTATAATTAGAAGTAAAGGGAGACAAAAAAAAAAAAAAATGAAACCATTAAAAAAAATCTACAGATCAAAGGTTTGTCTATAGATATGAATATCTTTCATAATATTATAGTGTTGTTTGATCCATATAGCCGAACTGTTAGGAAACCAAATTAGAAAATGGAGAAAAGGAAAGAAAGATCGCATTTCTTGACTGATAGCAAAAGAACAGAACAAAGAAGAGAGAACTCTCCTCCAAGAGTTTTTCCTTCACAAAGGATTTTTTTCTTTCACAAGGAGCAAAAGCTCAATTCTCAAAATGGTGCAAGACTGAACGATTCCTTTCTCCTTACATTCTCCTATTTATTTAACTCAATAACTTCCTTACTAACTCACTACTATAATTGTCCTAACTAATTATCCAAACTCCTAACAATACCATCCTGTTGAAAATCAACCTTATCTTCAAGGTTGAAATTGTGGAAGTTGAATTCACCCAATAGCTTTTTTCACTGTCTTCTTCAACTAAATGTTGTAATAACACGGCGATTCCAAGTTGAAGCTAAATGCAAAATCAGAAATTTGGTTGCAGTATTGTCAAGCCTTTGCCCCCTAAACATAGCCATATAGGTTCCACTAATTAAGTCCAACTCCAAGAATGAGGTTTGTTTGCAAAATATCCAGTTTGCCTATGCTTCTTCAAAGATCCAATTACACCAACCAGTTTGGGCCATATCTGTTAAAAAAATTGGACCCACTTTGCAGAATTCAACTTCCTCCCTTCTTTCTTTTGTTTGTGCAGAACCAAAGTTGTCCCAGCCAGCTGCATGTATCCTTGTGCTCGTATAAGTGTATAACATGATTCTTCTGTTAGTGTTCCATTGGATGCTGAAAGCAAGCTCACATCTGATGGCTCTAGTCGTGGGGGTGGGCAAGTGGGATTTTCAGAAACCCTTAAAATTGAGTTTCAGTTCTAACAAAGGAACCTCAGTCCTGCACAAAAGCCAAAACTTCATGTCAATCAATGATCTACCACCTCCTTTCATGTCAATAAATGATCTACCACCTCCTCCCCCCCTCCACAGATGAACTCAAGTCTGACGGCTTAGCTGGTGGTGGCTGCCTAGTTGGGCTTGTTGAATTCTTAGTTAATGTTTCCGTCACTTCCTATACCTCTCTTCAAAATAATCTTTCATATGTTTTTGGACGCGCACACATCCAAGTTCAGCAATAAAAGTCTAACTAATAGATTTGAGCTCCAAGTTTGCATCATTGTTGAAGTGTCACCCACCTTCATAGGTGAATCTTCGTCAAACTATGATTTTGGATTCATCATAATATTGTTAGGAACCCAAATAGAAAATAGAGAAAAAGGAACGAAAGATTGAAAGAAAGATTTTACTACTTAATTGATTGAACTTAACAAAAGAGAAAGAACTCTCTTCCACAAGTTTCCCCTTTACAAAAGATTCTTCCTTTCATGAAGAGCAAAAGCTCAAGTCCCAAAATGATACAAGACTAATATTCCTTTCTGTTATAGCCGTCTATTTATTTAACTCTAACAAACTAACCAACAAATTAATATTCTAAATGTCTTAACTAACTTCCTAACTCCTAAAAATGTTACCTTCCTAAAAATCAACCTTGTCCTCAAGGTTGAAATTGGAGATGTTAGATCTACCCCCAATAGCATTTTCAATTGTCTGTCAACTAGATTTTGTTATAACATGATAAATGAAAGTTGGGAATGAAAACAAATGAACCAACAAGCTTGTGCTTCAAATCTAGCCTGTTTGAACTGTTGCATTGTTGTGCTTTTCTCCCATAGACTTGGACTTTGCCAATTAAGTCCAAGAATAAGTTTTATTGATGTAACTTTCCATTATTTTCTCATTTTGGATCCAATTTCTACAATCCATTTGGGTCTAACCGATTAGGTTTAAATTTGAATCCAATCTGTAGAATTCCAACTACCCTTTCCTCTTTCTCATTCATCAGTGCTCTAAGAGAATGTGCTTCTTCGGTGTTCATCCATGGGAGTTCAACTGTGAACAGTCGATTAGTCACTACTTGTAAACTCAGTCAAGTGGCTCTGGTAGTTGAGGAGATGAGGATAGACATTGTATAACTTGAACCACCATGCTGCCTTGGTGCATTTCTTCTGACTTGGCTCCACTATCATGTTGTTAGCCATAGATGCAATGAAATTTAACAATAAAGCCTCAACTAGCAAATTTGAATTCCAAGATTTCAATGGCATTGATGTTCCACCCACCTTCATGGTCAAACCTAGGTTAGAGTGTGAGTTCTATTTCATCATAACAAGCTTTTTCTAGAAATTTGAGTTTTGAAAAAAAAATGAGCATTTGCACATTTAACTGTCTTGATCATCTACCACTTGATTATCCCTAAAATGATCTTTGCAACTCACATTCTCTTTTCCTTGTGTTTTTCCCTTTTCATTGATGGATCAACTTCTTCATCTACCATAACTATTTCAATCTTTGTATCACTTGCTAATTTTGTTTCATCATTTTTTGTTTCTTCTCCACCACAAGGGGTGTGGTGGTGATAGTTCCAAATTACTAAACCTTCTTTTTCACTTTTTTTTTTTCAGACTTCAAGAATTGCCATGAATCGTCATCATAATCAAAACTGCTACTCTTTGAGTTTGTTCCTTCTTCAATGCTTCCATGAAAAGTGGGTAACTTCACCTTTAACCTCTACTTCACCACATTTTGACTCATTCTCTTCCCCTGTCGTTCTTGTCCTGGTCTGTTGGATGGAGACCAGCCTCCTCATTCAATATCTGGAGTAGTATGTGTTTCAACTCTGATACGCTGGTCTTACAAAAATGAAGCTGTAATCTTATGAGAATCAATTATCCCCTTCACAAACTCCACTTTTTTCAAATGATCCATCTGGTTTTGGTGTTTGCTGCTTCATTATCAATTGCTTCAACATTGCTCAAGATCAGAAATACTAGACTTCCAAGAAAATTTGCGATCGTTGGTCTATTCCTTCAAGATCACCATAAGATTCTTCTTTGACTAGGGATCATTCTCCCCAGATTTTGGATCCAACAAGTTGGACCAAATAGTTAGGAGCCTGTTACGAACCCAAGAATAAAAATGAAAAAGAAAAGAAAAATTTATAATTGAATAAAATGAAAAGAACAAAAAATAGGAGAAGATCACTCCTCCAAAGGTTTCTCCCTCATTAAGGATTTTTCTTTCACAAAGGATAAAAACTCAATTTACACATGTTAAGAAATCTAAATATCCTTTCCTTTACATCTTCATCTTATTTATTTACCTCACAAACTCTTCTAATTAACTAGCTTCTTTCATTAACTAACGACAATAACTATTTTAACTAACTTTTCCTTCTCTCTCTCTTAACTCCTAACAGGACCCAAATTAGAAAATAGATAAAAAGAAAGAAAGATTGTATTTCTTGATTGATTGCAAAAGAACATAACAAAGGAGAGACAACTTTCCTTCAAGGCTTCCTCTTCACAAAGGATTTTTCCTTTTACAAAGAGTAAAATTTCAATTATCAAAATGTTACTGAATATTCATTCCTTCTCCCTTACAACCTCCTATTAATATACTATCCAACTAACTAATTAATACCCTAACTGTTTTAACTAACTTCCTAACTCCTAACACAACCCTACCAAGTGAAAAAAGGGAAAAGGCTTGGTTTTCTGTTGTTGTAGTAAGAAATAATTGATCAAGACATGTTCATTATAAAGGAGGGAAAAAAATGTACAAGAAACAAAAAGACAATATAGATAAAACATTGTTCCCAACAATTAAGCAGTAACTATGCATTAGTAAGACCTCATTCTCAGAAAAGAACTCCAGAAAGGAACTTGAATTAAGTATCAAATCTTTCTCTTGAGTGAAAATTTTCTTAGCAATTGAGAGCTTAGTAGCCATTGTAGCTTCATAATCAACATCCTGTGGGAACACAAAAAGAATATTAACAATAAGTTGTCATCTACAAATATGTCTACTTACAGAACTATGATAACATAGTGAGATAAGGTTTGATTGTTATTGTTGTTGTATAAAACTATGATGACAATAACAACATATTCATAGAAAATATAATTAACAACATAGGAGTAAACCTTCATTTTAGTCTTTAAAAATGTAAAGGTCAATTGCTTTAGTCCTAAACTGTACGGTACCCTCACTTTGGTTTGTAACTTTACAAAATGTCATTCACTTTAGTCTTTTTTGGTGCAAAACATCAGCAAAAAATAAGGTGGAAAAGAACTAAATTGACTTTTGTATTATTAATGACTAAAGTGACAAACAATTACAATTTAAAGAATTAGAATGGGGATTTGCTCATAATATAGGTATCTCAATTCAAAAGTACTAAGTTTAATTATACAGGTAAAAGTAAAGGCTGCATCATCTCATATCTGATTGTAAGTTGAAAGAGTATTCCTTCAGTTTCTCTTATTTCAACCCTGGAATTGAATCTAAAAGGTATTCTAGTAAACTGATTGCAGCAATTGGATTCTCAGTAAAAATGTTTTTATTTTTATATACCAGAATATTTGCAATGTTGATTCCATCCAAAGGTGTTATATTGTTATTGCATTTAATGAGAGGTGAGTGAAGTGACATTGAAGACTGAAATAAATTTACCATCAATCTTTACAACCTTAGCAGCACCTCATTTCTAATATACAAATATAACCATGTTATAATGGGGTTTACTGACATCTGATTTATTTAAAACAGCACCAGATTTAGAAGTGACTAAAAAGACAAATTAGACATTGTAACAGCCTTTTAACGATGCATGCATATATATTAGAGAACCCTTTTATGGTATCAAGATACACACACACACACACATATATATATATATAAAGATTTGGTAGCATTACCTTCCCATCCAACTGCTGTTTTGCCTCCTCAATCTCTTTCTGTTCAAAGGGGAAGCAAAATACTTCAAATATAAGCATTTGGAAGCTGCTACCAATGCTATTAAATATTCAATAGAAAATAAAGTTCCTAAATATAACCTTGATCTCCTCTGATATATTCTCAGAAAGTGCTTGTACTCTCAGATACAAGGGATGCAATGCAAAGACTGAGAGTGAACTGAAAAACAAACATGTGCAAAATCACCAACTTTAAGTCTCAGCTAGTCTACAAATTGTTTGAAATAACAATTATAGACAAGTTTTTTTTTCAATCATACCTGTGAAAAAAATTAATGTCAAATTACTTAGTTTGATTTGCTGTATGCAATTTATATCTTATCTAACTAAATCTGAAATAGTTGTCAAAAAGGAAACTTTGAACTTGAGAAATCAAATACATGCAATCACGAAGTTGTTAGGAGATCAACAATGAGAGTTTTAGAAAATTCAATTTTCTATATCTTAAGTTAGTTTGTTTTTGGCCTGAGTTTCGATGCTCTGGTGCCCCAAGTCCATGGTGAAAGGAAGAAACAACATGAGCTGAAAAAGAAGGTTGGTTGTGTGTACGTGAGAGGAGGAACACTGGTGTGATGAGTAGAGAAGAGAATGATTTTGGGTAACCAACATAAGATGGGATAAATAGGAAGGACTCCTCCGAGGTCAACTCTCGACTCCCATCACTGACATTGACCCACCATGCATGATCATGAGGCCAACTCAAATGGTAGCCCATCTCGCTGATCTGTAACATTGTCTTCTTGTGCACCCTTGACTCCCACCTACGCATTTGATTGAAAGTTGAAACCAGATTGATCCATAAAGATAAGCATTCCCCTTGTCAAACCCCAACCAAGAAACCAAAGGTGTCCCTACCCTATTCCCAAACACTTGGGATAGGGTAGGTACACCTAACCCTAACAAAGGGATAGCCCACCACACTCCATAATGGGTGCACCAAACCTAAACCATTACTCATTACATCACCCTCCTTCATGTCATCACCAAGATGGGAATTCCACCTAACCCAGATGCACCCATGCCTATAAATAGAGGGAAGAACCAGTAATATGAAGGTAAGCAAGAATTCCCAACCAAGTCTCTGTCAAAATATATACTCACTTGGACGTTGGAGTGTTTCTTGTAGGAACACCCCACAGCTGCACCTCCGTCAATTGCAATAATCAACACTATGAGGACCTCCACACCAGAACAGTACCTCTGGCTTCGCCATTCAGAGTCAAGGATCAGAACAGGGAGAAAAAGAGTGGGGAAAGCAGTTAAGAGAATAAGGAGTATTCAAAAATAACCTTGGCATTGGGACCAGGATTTTTTTGTTCTTGTTATTTCACTGTATTACAGTGGGTTAACTCTGCTGAATTAAGGAGTTAGTCCCCATTATTTCCATTCTGTAAAAACCATGTTTGCATAATGACAGGTATAATGGTATTTACAAAGTATCTACATATTTATCTGATGTGTACTATAATTTGAAGATTTTGTACCTGTATGGATAAGAATCCCACCACATCCCATGCACAGATGTATCATTGATTGGTAAAAGTTGAACTAAATGGAAACCGGAAGCTACAGCCCAGTCAACTAGTAACTTAAGGTCAAGAAACTCTCCAACACCCAGATCAGATTCCGACCTAACAGAAAACATGGGGATTGCTACCCCAGCACCACGCCAAGGCGTTTCCTAGAAAAGCAAACCAACAACAAATTAGAACTGTAAATTCCCGCAACGCACAATCTCCACACCCATAATGTAATTTCAGCAATTCACCCGCATCATGCCGTCTGAAAGAATGATATATTTTGCCTCATTCCTCGAGGAGTTAATAAATACTTCTCGATTTGGACCATTCTCTATAGAAAAATTCCCAGACCTGCTACATTTGCCATATCTATATGTGGAAACACTGTTAAGAAACAATATAAAGCTTAATGAAAGTATTGGTAGCAACATATGAATCTAATAACACCAGAAAATCATCGTATAGTTCATGATGAAAGGTTCAAAATGGATATCTTATTGGAAAATCACTCCTTTGCATCACACATTCAGCTTTCCAGACAGATTCACCAAAATAGCTGAGTTTTAGTCCATTTTCAACTTTCCACTGCCCCAACTTTATATTGCTACCAATCACATATATCTGCAAAAGTTCGAAAAAGGTCACTAATTCAAGTTAAGTGCCAACCTTTTAAACACAAATCTTTATATATGCTTTTAATGAATTTGCAGTGCATGCAGATAAACAACATTAATCATTTGGGATAAAAAGGTCTCACTGATGTGTCTTTCTCAATATTTGGGCAACAAATTTTGAATTGGATCACAATAGATGCTGCTGGTCATCAGAAATCAAAATACAAGAGTTATCAACAATATAATAAACCAACACTCTGCACACACATTCACATCCTATAAGTTTCAAAAAGAGGTTAAAAAATTAATTTGCATATAGATACCTTGACCTTCCTGTTCAAAAGTAATGTTGTTGACTCCTGTGTTTCTGTTGACGCTCAAATCCCAGCTTTGCCGAAAAATGACATCTCGGAAAGCACTTCTGAAAGGGAGGGCATCTGAGCCAGTCTGTACTTGTCGATAAAACAAGGAAAGATCTTGAGCATAAAATTTTTAAAAACAATACTTATATCTTAACAAAAATTGATTGAATTATATTACAAATGAGGATTCTATTCAACTTCCAGACACACTGACAACTTTGAGAGGCTGCTACAAGTGAAATATTTTGGCAAAACTCTGAGAAAAATGATCAAGAAATAAGACCTGATTTGTGAAGCACTTAAAAGACCATATCCTTCTTGTATATTTATTATGCGTAGGTGTTACAATTTACAGTGTAATGTACATAGTACAAAAAACAGAATTTGGAATCTTTTTCTGCCAGCAATCAGCATCTCCACACCTTAAGAAGTAGTATGCACTAACTACACTTTTCAAACAGCTTGAATGGATTGAGCCAGATCAAACAACATGCCACATCAACTTTTTTCTTTCTTTCTTTTATTGGGGGAGGGAGGGGACGCTAAATTTCTCTGGAAATACATGCGGTCACCTTAAATCGTTCATGCAAAGTGTGGATTTTTTACACAAGGTCATGAATGAAGTTCAAGGTTCTAATAAGCAAACCTTGCAAATAAGTTTATTACAAATATTTTCTTTCAGATGGAAAATTATGAAACAAAAAACACAATCAAATTGCACATTTCCTATAAAACACAATTGAACTGAGAAATATTAGACTACTGAACCCAAGTGGATAACAAGAAAGGTATCTTCTGAATCTACGCAATTTGTGCAACATAATTCTTGTTAAGAGTATATCTTTCGTTCTTACATCAGCCAGACCAAAAAAAAAAAAAAAACATGCTGAAAAGCTCTACTAATTTGTTACATGATTTAACGAAAAGAATCGGAATTCATTACAAATGGCAATAAAACTAGGACATATCTTCACAGAAGCAACATAAGAAAGAACTACCTAAAAGATACAGAAAAATGTGGAATGAGAGAAAGGCAGCACCTGCCAAAGATCATGGAACTCAATCTCCTGGCCACTCTGAATACCTTCAGGGAGCACCAGTTCGCGCTTCTTCCCCATCTCCCCTCTCAGTACATTTTTGTTATCATCCACAACATAATAGCTGTACTGGCATTGGAACCCTCTAGGAACTTTGATGCTTCCACCCCATATAAGCTCATTCCCTTGATGAATAGGGCTAAGCAACACACCCCTCTTCACATTCCAGGAACCAAGCACTGGCACAGAGCCACACACCAGTAAACTCTGACCCCATTGGGTAAAATATGGTATCTTAAAGCTCACTTTCACTGAATTCACAGACTTGTTCCCAGAAAACAATCCAGAATTCGCCATATCTTCCAAAATGGATAATGAAAGAGCAAAAACACTCAATTCCTGGCCAAAAATTGAAATTTTGAAAGCAAGAAAAAAAATGTGCAATTATCAATGCGGAGAAAGATCAGACAAATCCACAATATATTGAAGCATCAAAGCGACAAAGTTGTGGGCACTAAGCTCACATCCTCTAAGAATCACACCACATAACCATTTAACATAACTGAAGTTAACAGAAAGCAAAAACAGAAAGTCTCAAAAATATAATCTTTTCTAAGAAAACAAAAATGGGTGGATGAGATTTACCTTGATTTAAGCAGAAGATATGATATTGGAAGTTATGAATATAAATAGTAAAAATGGGAGTGCTTGAGAAGCAGGAGTAGAGAGTGTTGTGTGGTTGGAAGAGAAAGAAAGGGATGAGATATTTTGATGGAAAAGTAGAGACTGGAACTTGAGAGGGAAAACAGAGAGGTAATAATACTAACAGAGTAGAAGAAAGACGTTTCTGGCTCTCAGGATTCGATTAGATACCGAGAGAGAGAGAGAGAGAGAGAGAGAGAGAGAGAGAGAGATTTTGAGATATTATTTTATAATTTCTTTCCTGATATGAGTTCAGGTAAGAATGTTGCTATCATGGAAGAAAGGATGATACACTCAAGATGCGTGTGAAATTCGATAGCTCAGGTTTCTCACTCTGTAACTGCCTCTAGAATCAACCTTGAAAAACCTCAACAAAAATATCTCGACATATATCATTTTTCGTTAGTATTATTGTTACATATACATAATAGATAGACAAGAACAGAGTATATATCCTTAAATATTTACATTTTACAAAATGATTTGTAAAGTTAGAGACTAAAAAAAAATAGCTTTACATGTTGTAATGTAGCGACACACTCGTCTGAGGTCTAACAAAAAAATAATAAATAGTAAAAAGAATTATTATAGTTGGAAGTAAAATGCTATTATTGTGTAAAGTAATATAAAATTTAGTTTTTTTTACGATGAAAAGATTTACAAAGTAAATAAGAAAAAAATATATTTATTAATTTTTTCTGAGTAGTAAGAAATCTCTATTAATTTAAATTAAAAAATTATAAGCATAATTATAGTTAAATTCGAAATCTCTACTTTCTTACTTTGGGTATTTTTTATTTTAGAAAAACTAATAATATGATACTCAACTGCACGTTACCATGAAAAAGTTTATTTATCAGCTTTTGTTTTACATACACGAGTGCTGAATAAAATATTACGAACCAATTTGACTAAATTACTCTATTTCCATTATATTTTACGTGTATTACGAACTAAGTTCTTCATATTATATGAATATATATTATCATTATTTTTTTTTTAGTATTAGAATACTTTTTAACGTTTATTATCTTTTCTTTTTCTTCAATCTTTATTCACAATTTTTTAGAAAGCTTTTCCGATCTAGTGTCCATGACAAAGAAGTTAAACACATTTTTTCTTATTTAACAAAGTCATATAAAATTTTATCAAGGGTCCATAACTATTATGTTTATTATGGGCACACTTCACGAAACTCTTAGTCAACAGTTACGAATTATTATATGAGAAATAAACCAAAACTTCCTTAATATAGGAACATTTTCATTAAAGTTGCATAATTAAAGAAATTAAAATTATAAATGGTAATTAAGAAAATCAAGGGAATGAGCTCATATAAGAATTAAAAATTTTAATATGAAATATAAGAATTAAAATTGCATAATTAAAAATTAAAGGACTAAAATCGAACAAACGTGATAATTGGAAGATCAAAAGTGTAATTAAGTTTAAAATTAAATGTATTTAACATTTAAACTACATAAATTTTAAAATAGCATTATATAAAATGAAAACAAACCATTTTATAATTTCATATTTAAAAATAAAGAAAAGTATCCAAAAATTGTTAAAGCAAAAATTTAATAAAAACTTGATCACATAAATTGTTAGCACACACTAACAAGACAAATCAAAATTATTAAAATTTGATCAGTTTTGTAAGAATTAAATTATATATATATAATACATTTTTTAAGAAAGTATAAGGTTTATTTGTTTGAAAATTATTTCTTGTAGTCATTTAATTATTGAGAAATCAGTCGTAATAAATTAGTTTTAATCCATCCTATAACCATGCAACAAAATTTCATACGATTGAGTTTTTACTAAAGTTTCATCGTGACAAATTTAAAATCTTTTATTTTGAAGATATGAAGTTATGACTTACTTTATTATATATTCTTTTGGGTCACCTAATATTACTACTTTCAGTTATATCACCCAATTTAAATATTTATTTTTATAATGTAATAGAAAGAATTTAATTGTAATGCATTTATAAAATTCGAAAAATTGTGTAAAGCATAAAAAAATAAAAAGTTCTATGTAATGGGTCAATATGCAATTAATAGAGGCATTTTCTCAATTTTGCAGATGGTCAAATCTTAGCTTATCTTTCACTTTTGTTTCCTTAGCATTGTTGATGTTATTGTGAATTGTGGAAGTGGTACTTTTTTTCTAATGGTTCATCATACTAGTACTCTCTAATTAAATCTAATAACTAGTAATATTTAGTTTTTAAAATCTATGGTGTATTTTGGTAGGTAAAAAGCAAGTAGTCAGTGATTGAGAAATCAATAGTTAAAATTTAACCACTTAATATTTTTTTGTGGCACACATACATGTATTTCATCACGACAATTAGAAGAGCCAATTCTAATTTGTAAAAGGTGATAAGTCTTTTGACTAAAGAGTGACGAATATGCATATGAATAATGTTTGGGATGATGATATTTGGAGGATGAATATTCTACGTACACTTGCCTATCAAACATTAGCTAATATTGAAAATGATGGGGGGTATTGAACACCTTCAACATTTAGAATGTAGTGAAATTGTGCATAATTTCGTAATAAGGGGACATTAACCCCCGTTACGTTTTGAAAAGTTAGACTCCATTCAACGTTTCTAAAAAGTCAAAGGCAATTCACATGATAGGATCTTTTGCCTTGGTGTCTTATCTTTGCAATCGTAAGCATAAGGAAATATTATATGCTTTCTTTATTCTATATAAACAGGAATCATGTGCTACTAATTAAAGGCATCATATGCAAAATAGTAGCCAAAACAGTATCACATGAAGATTCATAAACTTCCAAACGGAAAGAAAATATGCAAAAAAGTATCACAGCTCTACCGCATCACTTAATTGAATACACATGTATCTCAATCTTTCTTTTTCACATCTAGCATAGTTGAAAATTTATACAAAAATACTTGTAGAAATAGAAAATAAGGAGGTAAATTAAATGAAATTATTTCATAAATTAAAATTAACATATGCACTTCATGTTTCAAAACAAATTAATTTAAAAAGCTTATAAAAAAATATAACAACATTAGTTGATTTTAATTAACAAAAGTTACATTTTTTTCCCTACTCAAACTAGGTCAAGCCCACTACCGCAATTTAGACGTGCTGTAAGAGGAACAAGCTTTTTTTTTTTTTTTGCCAGTTAGCTGTTTAATTATAAAATTACTAACTTATTGTATTTTATTTTTTTGTTTCAAAGATTTTTACAAAAATCAGTAAAAATAATAAAATAGTACTTTCATTATTTCCCATACAAATTATTAAAAATAAAATCATGTGAAATTTTTATAATTAAAAAAGGGGAACAAACATTTTCTGTAACAAAACCGCCCCATAACTAGTGCAAAAGGAGGAACAGATGGAAAGTGGAGAACCAAAGGAATTCACAATTTCACATCTTAACAACAAAACCGTGTTACATTGCCACCATTGGTTGAACATTTTGCTGGTCAAGCTCGGCTAACATAACCTTTAGCTGGCATAGAGAAGCATACAGTATGATTTTATTGCAAGGGATGAGAAACAAAAAGAAAATTGTTACTTTCTTCATTTTTGGCTTTCATTTTCATTTTTTTTTCATCTTACATCACAAAACAGCGGTACTGTGTGTAATCAAGGACTGCCACTTATGGACTTTGACCTGAAAACACATACACCATCTGGATCTTTTAATCAACTATTTACACGCATGATGACAACTTATATCCACTCAGATGAATGTGTTGCTTGCCTTTTGCTAGCTCACATTTTTAGTACTCTCATTTGTCTGGTCGATTGATACACTTCAAGTACCATGTTATACACGTAACACAAGTACAATGAACAAATATGTCCATTTAACAGTTCCAAGACAACCTGCAGAAGCTGCAAAAACAGGATATCAGTGGACAAGAAAATATCCAGAGAAGGGTTGCACATATGATATGACCCAACAACAAGATCCTCAACTTCATGAGTTCATGCAATCAAGTAGAATGTACTCAAATATGAGAACAAAGGAGAAAACTTTAATAACCGTTTGTTTGAATTTGTATTTGTTAATACTTAATACTGAAGCATCGGTAACCTCCATTTGGAGGTTTATGTCCTGAGTTTGAGTCTCCAAGACTATTTCTAATGTAAGAAATAAAAACAGAAGCAAAATGGTAGACTTGCATGTTTGAACAGACGAGAGAATTTTTGGGGAGCCATAGTCTGAGTCCATACAGAATGTGAAATTACTCCTTTCCAACTTCACATTAAGCCAGACTTCATTGACTAACTTAATTTCCTTAGTAAATGGTGTAACCCCAGACAATTTTAATATCATGCTCGAAGATTAATGGTTTAAAAGATGCATGCACAAATATAAGTATAAAACATGTCTTATCTGATTTAACACTAGTAACACATCAGCTTTCAACCATATAATTATTGCCATATCACTAAGCATACTTACACGAAGATAATGGTGGTCCACGAGAAGGAATGTGTGAACGTTCTGCTGCTGGTTCATTCTTAGGAGGGGGCTCAGCATGAGCAAAAGCTACATTTGGTAAAGGGCTCAAAGCAGGTACTGAATGAGGGACATGTGCTGGGGATTCAACCTGTGATTTTGGTGATGCAACAGGAACAGGATAATGTGGATCAATACTAGGAGCAACTACAGGTGTAAGATGAGCATGCTTCCCAGCATGATGGGTAGACCTTTTTCTATACCCAAAATGACAATTAGGAGGCTGAGCCTGAGAATTTTTCCCAGGTGAAGGCGCACGTTTTGTAGTGGCAGGAGAAACAACCTTGGGTGGAGTTATACCCTCCTCAGGTGAAGATATAGGTGTAGGTGCAAGTGCAGGTACAGGTACAGGAGAAGTTGCAGGAGTTAGATGGGCATCATGGTGATGATGATGATGATGATGTCGGTGTTGATGGTGGTGGTGGTGGTAGGATGGATGTGGCATAGGAGCAGGAGAAGGTGACCATGTACCATCACTGCCATGAAGGGAGTGCTGCAAGATGGATGAAAGTCGGACCTGCTTAACCCTACCAAATTCAGTGTTATTCAAGCCAAGATTATGAGGTCCCATGATGGTTTGTGCCAGCTGCTTTAGCCTCTCTTTTGATGGAGGAATCCCAACTGCAAGTAGAACAGATGTCTGAACAACAGTAGGAGAATCTACTGTTGAACCTTCAGAATTTGATAAGCTGACATGCAAGTTCTGAAACCAACCAGGAAACCCAACAAAAATCAGCAATTCAGCATGGCATCTTATGACTAGTATTCCATCAGGAATCTTCTATAAATACTAAGAGCTATAAATTGCATATTATAATGTTCTTTATTGCATAGTCCAATGCCAAACATGACTCACTTGAAATAGACACATAACATATAATCAAAACTGAAGGTTGACCTCAATCACAAAAGCTATACACAATTATAACCATTGAGATTATATGATGAAAACAGTAAGAAAATGAAGAAGAATTGACAAACCTCAAAGGATGCCAGATGTAATCCAGACTTTAGCTGAGTAGTTAACTCATTAAAATTTGATTGTATTTGATAAATGGGGAAATTCAACTTAAAGCTGAATAGTGTTTGCACTTTCTGCAGAGGAAATGCATTCTGTGGCAGAATTATAGTAATTCCTCCCTTAAATTTGAGCACTTCAAAAAAGAAGGGATCTCCAAACAAGGATGAAGAAGTGAGCTGGAGAATTGATTGGTGTATAACCAGGGATGTAAATGATGCTTTTATCAAACTAGTGGCAGCTGAAGACATTTCTGTATTTTCATCATCAGAATCAACTGCAAACACCACTCTTGTCTTGTTTGGCCCAGGTAAGGGATCTAGAGACAAGATGACTACCTGGAATTTTTTAACAAATAGGAGAATGATATTAATATGTAAATATTAATAAAGTGTATGAAAGAGAAGTAATGAGAGGTACTTTGGTAGAGAGAACATCTATCTCATCAAAAATTTCATCTGCGAGCTGAAAGGAGTTTTCTTTTAGCAAAGAGACTGACTTATTAAGATTAAAGCTTGCAACAATATCATGACCTGCAATATTAAACAAAATCATTAAGCAAATAGATTTTATAAATTGCACTAATATCTTTAAAAGAACGACTTTTAGGTAGGCGTCATATTCAAAATCTTTTAGTGATGCGGCAATGCATAATTAAGAAATAGAACTTTTACACTGGCAATGGTTCAAAAGTTTATCCATAAATTGGCACATGCAGATGTATACAAGCATGAGGATAAATCTATAAAACACATTAAACTTGTGCTGACAATATGTGAGGAGATACAGAATATAATTTTTGCTAGATAAAGGAAGAGAAATTGAATAATGAAATTTGAAAATTGATCATATGCAGAGGTATAATAGAACTGTACACTATTAAGAAAATATATTTATAATTACAGTAATCCCAATCTCCCAACAGCCCCAATATTGGACCAACATAAATTTGCAAGCAAATTCCCACTTTTCACTCATTGATTATTTTCTCTATCCCTGCCTTCACAATCCTTTTCTGTGATCCAAATATCCAATGTTACATGGTACACCACTTTCTATTACAATTTCATTCCCCCTTAAGCTCTTCTTATTGTTCTTCAAGTAATCACTATTAGTTATAACCTACTCATTCATTCCTGCATTAGTAAGAAACTCTGTGTGGCAGTTGAAAATCTCAATATCTGATGGTGTAAAATATGCTCAGTGCAATAGCTGCATAATGAGGTAAAAGATTGTAATGGATGGAGTAGCAATGGCGGCTAGCAGGTTGGCATATGGTGTCACAGAGCCATATTAATACACTATGGACATCATAATGAAATTTCCCTCATCAAGCAAAAGCTTCACAATTTTAAGATTACAGACTTCAAAAAAAAAAAAAAAAAAAACTATTAAGTTTATTATATTCACTATCTCCTCACATATTGTCAGCACAAGTTTAATGTGTTTTACAGATTTGCTATACAAAGCCGCTAGCTTGAATAAACTAATAACAAAAATGCTAGGACAGGTAAATGGATACAAACTAGTAAGCATATTGATTTCAGAAACGAAAAACTTATTGTCACAGCCTAAAACAGAAAACCGTTTAATTTATAGGCAAAATCGACATCGAGAACCTTTTTCTACATGAATATATGATTTATGACCATAATTCGTTTTAAGCATCTCAAATGTGTAAAAATGGATAGCCCCAAGTTTGACTCCTTAGTTTATGATTTGAGAAAAAAACACTGTCAAAACACAATTCCCAAATAAAGAATTACAAGGAAATTTAAATAGATAAAGCCTAAGCAAGGGAACGTCCAATGCAGTGCCAAAACCAATTTCAAAAATGAAGTCTGTACAAGATCAAAATCCTCAAACCTTACTTAAAATAGCATAAGAAAAGTAATTTCCCAAATGAGAAACACGATCCGACAAACTAGTTCTTTTTCCCACAACACATAAATCTCTTCGATTGGCCAATTAACAAAACTACCATAATTAAAAGACGAAACGAGTCATTAGATAGCCCATTTAAGTAACCCTTCATTAACCATTTTAACCCCCAAATTAAAAAATAAAAACAACGAAGAAAAATAGCATCTTGTAAATAACCCATTACTACCCAAAAACAGAAACAGATCTAAACCCACGAAACAATGCCACCACCCACAAACCCCCAAAGCACAAAAACCAAAACCCCACCGTTGTAATCGGCATTCAGATTCTTCCGATCTGCGAGACGAAGAAAAGGGGGTAACCAAAACAAGGCAGAGAGAAACACCGCAACAGACAGCACCAGTACGAGAATGCATCTAAGACCAACGAGTTTCCGAATCCGAGAACACCGACACTCTGTCTCCGCATTCTGCGGTGGATCCTCGGACTGAGGCAGAGGTTGATGTTCTTCTTCGGCTTTTCCCATTGGGAACAATGCAGCATAAGAAGAAGAAAAGGGTCAGATTCCATTCCCATTGGATACACCCATTTCACACACTGAACAAAACCAAGCAGAAAAATGAGATCTTTTTTCTAAAGGGGTTGTTGGGTTTGTGAAGATTAACAATTTTTTAGGGTTTGAGTTTGAAGGGTCGAAGTGAAAGAAGGAAGAGACAGTGAAGTAACTTGTGCAGCACAATTGACAACTAGTGTCATTTTCTCATTTGGAGAGAGAGATTGTCTTTTTTTTTTTTTTCTTTTTGAGATTTTGAAGTGGAAGCAAAGAAGATGAGAAGAAAATGCGTTTAATATTAAAAACTACGCACTATTAGGTGTAGAAATTAGGAAGGTGGTGTGAGGTGTGATGACGAAGAAAGCATTTGTGGAAGCAGTGAGGTAAGGTTTGACTCTTCCAAGTTATATGCGCCACGTTTTCTTCTCTCTCATACTTTGCTCGTGGAAAGAGATAAGGAAATTTATTTTTAAATTCAACTTTTTATGTTATTAAATTTTCGGATTATATATAAGTATTCACGATTCCTTTTTAATTCCACGATATACTTTTAACTATATGCATTTAGTATAATAAGTATTCACGTATAATTATTTAATTTTAGAAGATGTTATTTATCAAATGCTATTCTAGAGAAATTAGTGGATAAAAGTCAAAATAATTTACAAAAGTGGAATACACACTCTTCATTCTTTGAAGTGGGTTTCCTTATTTTTGAACGATTGTATAGAATTTGAGAATGAATTCTTCTTAGAGAAAAAGATATAATAGCTTCTTTTAGAGACGAGTTGAATTCTTTAAAGTTTAAAAAAATTGAATGACCTATATTTCAAATGTAAGAAGTTTTAATTTATTCTGCATCATAATATTTTTTTTAAATCAATTGTTAATTTTTAAAAAAATTAAGAAATAGATTAAGTTAGTAAATTTTGACAATAAAATTTGGTATACATAAAAATTATTTATACTATTTGAATAGTGTATGTAAATAGGGAGAGGGATGAAAATAAAAAAGAAAGATTATTTATTTGAATGTTATGCGATGAGTGATGAATCTACAATTTATAAATATTTTATTTTTTTGTTTATAGATTTTTAATAGAAAAAATGAAATTAGAAATGATAAATACATAAAAATCTTATTTAGATTAAATATTATAACTTTTTTAATTTTTGTCTAGTTTATACTAATTTTTGTAAATATATTTTATAATTTTGATCATTTGAATAATTGTATAGGAATTTTTAAGCAAATTCCTTAGATTTTTTGCTATTTGGAAAATATGGGGTCAAAGTAACTACTTTCGAGCACCATAGTAACCACTACAACAAGCCAATTCCAAGGGATAAGCCAAAGTAGCTACTTTCATGTGTAATAATAGTTACTATAGAGAGAAAAGGAAAATCCTAGGAGTTGCGCGTGTCTACTATCATAAACGATAGTAGTTACTATTGAGGACGTCAACTTCACTATAAATAGATTTTTACCATTTAGAGTTGGAGACTTTTACAATCTTAGATTTTTTGCCATTTTGAGACATTTTTGCAGAGCTAAGTCAACCTAGAGTTTGATTTCCATTTCTTTTTACTTTTCTTTGATTTTTACATTAATGTCATTAGTTTTCCTTTATTTTCATCTTGTAATAGTGAGACTCATCCTTATGGAGGGCTAATTTTCTTGTAATCCATAGTGAGTTCATATGGATTGTTGAATTCTTGGGGTCTTTCATGTTAATACGAATTCCTTTTTCATGAATTTCTTCCTTGCCAATCTTTTGAGCTAAGTTAAGAATTGAATGAAAGAGTGTTGCTTAATCACTTCTAATTTGTTTTTAATGAAGGTTATGAATTTAGTTTGCTTAATTATGAATTTAATCCTAAAGATTAAAGATTGGAGCCCATTGATTTGCTTAATTTCGTATAGAAATTTAGGGTTAATTTTTGCCTTTTAAATTGACCTAATTCAGGGAAAAGGAATAGGGTGTTAAATCTTAAGAGGAATTAGGATAGAACCCATGTGGATAAACTAGGAGTTACTATATTTCATTGATTGAACTTTACATTTTAATTATTTGATTGAGTAATTTGCACTTGGAATCACAAAAACTCCTCCTTTTTACTTACTTTCTGAGTTAATGTTTACAACATGTTTGATGTATGTTCTTATCTAATGTCAGTGGAGATAACTTAGGCTTGCATCCTAGACTACGTTAATTTTTATGCATATTTTGATAAGGATTAGTGGTAAACCTTATACGCATCATCAAATTGCACCATTGCCGGGGATATTGGTGTTAATTTTTGCATTGAAAATGTTAAGTACTCTATTTTAGTGTTCTGTTTTTAGTGTTTTTTACATGTTTGATGTTAATGGTTTTGAATTTTCTGCTTTGTGAATACATTAGCATTAATATAGCTTCATAGTAGATTGAGTAATTCTGCATTTAGGTACATATTTCTACTGTTTTCTGCAACTTTTGAGTACTACATTCTGCATTTTTAGTTTTGCCACTCTGCATCCTTAATTTTTTTTACACTTTTTGTTCTAATTTTGCTACATAATTCTACAGAATTTTTGGCTTAGGATTGCAATTTTCTATTGGTTTTTCTGCATGATTGTCATATGCACATTTTGCATTTTTAGTCACTTCATTTAGTGTATCTTTTCTACATTCACATAGTTAAATTCATAGTGCATGACCAGATCAAAACCTAGAGATATATATCCGCTTGATCCAAAAATTGATAGGACTTTTTATAGTAATATTAGGACACATAGACATCATTTTGAAAATTTAGAAGAATCTTCTTCTCCTTTATCTATTTAATCTTCCCCTCATTCCCTAGATTTTGAACTTGAAAAAATAGTAGATAATAAAAGGACATTAAAGAAAATAGCTGCACCTGATGTAACTTACCAAACATTGTGTATACAGTATCCTGATATTGATGCTAATTTTGTTTTTAAAACTAGACTAATATACTTGTTGTCTAGATTTCATGGCCTTGCAGGTGAAGATCTACACAAGTACCTCAAAGAATTTCATATAGTCTGCTTGACTATAAGGCTACAAGGTATACTAAAGGAACATGTGAAGTTAAAAGTTTTTCCATTCTCTCTAATGGACACAGTCAAAGATTGGATCTCTTATATCCCACCAAGATCCATAACCAGCTGGGACAATTTGGAAAGACTCTTTCTAGAGAAGTTCTTCCCAGCATCAAGAGCTACATCCATCATGAAACAAAATTTGTGGGATAAGGTAACTGAAGAGAAAGACACTTTATGAGTACTGAGAAAGATTTAAGAGGTTGTGTGCTAGCTGCTCCCACCACCAAATTAGTGATCAATTACTCATCCAATACTTTTAGAGGAACTGCACCTCATGGATAGAAGTATGATAGATGCAGCGAGTGGAGGAACATTGGTAGACAAGACACATGTAGAAGCCAGGAACTTGATTAAAAATATGGCTATCAATTCTCAATAATTTGCTACCAGACAAAATTCTTGTGTGACTAGATGTGTGCATGAAATTCAAGCTACAGATCCAAACAAGTTGCAACACAAGATTAATGAGTTGGCCTCTATGGTGAAGCAATTAGCTTTACTTCAATCACCACCTATTCCAGCCATGCTATGTGGGATATGCTCAGTCACAGATCATTATACTAACAACTACCCCACATTGCAAGAGATTGATACTCTAAAAAGTAACCCCCAAGTCTAAGCTGCAAATATTTACACTAACAAGTTTTCTTTTTAACAGCCGCAACAACAGCTCAATTGGGACTTGTCTTCAAACAGATACAATCCTAGTTGGAGAAACAATCCAAACTTGAGATGCGGAAACTCTTCACAGCAGCACAACCAACAATAAGGCAACCATTATCAAGCACATTATGTTGGTCCAAGCAAATCCCACCAACCACAACAAGCTCAACATCACTAACCATCTACCTCACAAGCCATTGCATCCCAAAAGAATGAGTCATCACTAAAAGAGCTTATGAAGCAAACGGTAATAAACATCACCTTGCAACAAAGGACTAAAGCTATTATCAACACTCTTGAGAACCAAATGGGACAATTAGCTTCTTCCCTAAATCAAATTTAATCTCGAGGTTCAGGAAATCTTTCTGCACATACTATAGTAAACCCAAGGAATGTGAGTGCAATTACTATGAAATCTGAAAGAGTGATATAAGAACCTGAACTGCCTAAGGAGAAAGAAGATACAAGTTGTACTTCAACTACAGTTGATGAGAATGGGGAGGAAAATAATCAAGAACAACCAGGACTTGCACCTATCCAACCAAAGGCAACAAAGAATGTTGAAAGAACAATTCCTTTACCATTCCCTCAAAAATCCATCCAGCCAAGCAAGAAATTTGAAGAGACCGATAAGGAAATCTTAGAGACCTTCAGAAAGGTGGAAGTGAATATACCTCTGCTGGATGCAATCAAGTAAATCCCTAAATATGCCAAATTCTTGAAAGACTTATGCACCCACAGAAAGTGTCTAAAAGGTAATGAAAAGGTAAATATGGATAGAAATGTTTCTGCACTATTTGAGAAAGAGAAGTCTACAATGCCTAAAAAGTGTAAAGATCTAGGGACATTTACTATTCCATGCACTATTGGCAATAATAGGATTGATAATGCTATGTCAGATCTAGGAGCATTTATTAATGTCATGTCATTGTCTATTTTTACCTCTCTGTCTCTTGGCCTTTTGCAGTCCACAAGTATAATTATTCAATTGGCCAACAGGAACACAACACATCCAGCTAGACTTGTTGAAGATGTGTTAGTGAGGATGAATGATCTTATTTTTCTAGCTAATTTTTACATACTTGACATACAAGAAAAAGAGTTGGTAAGCAGTGCTGCATCAATCATTTTGGGAAGATCATTCTTGAAGATTGCAAGAACGAATATTGATATGCATGCTGAAACACTCACCATGAAGCTTGGAGACAACATTGTGTGCTTTAATATACTGGATGCTATGAAGCACCCACCTAAAAAATACTCTGTCTTTCACATTAATTTTTTTGATGCATTGATAGATGATAAAATGTTTGAACTGTTAGAAGGAGACTATTTTCTTAATTTTTCTGATTATGTAGATACTTCCATTTGTGAATCTTGTACCAAGCTACTACAAGCTGGGATTATCTATCCAATCTCATACAACACTTGAGGTCAGCTCGGTCCAAGTGGTTCCAAAGAAGTCTGGACTCATTATGGTCAAGAATAAGCAGGATGAGTTCATACCCACCAGAGTCCAAAATAGCTTGATAGTCTGCATAGACTACAGAAGACTGAATCAACCAACAAGGAAGGACCATTTTTCATTGCCCTTCATTAATCAAATGCTAGAAAGATTAGCTAGTAAGTCTCATTATTGCTTTCTTTATAATTTTTCTGGTTATTTTC